GGGGAGTGGACTGTCCAGTCTGCGAGAGGGGTGGGGAGTGGACTGTCCGTACAGAGCCATGGACAGAGACCCCGGCTGGTTACCGCCGCTCGCCGCATTTGACCTGTGCTGTAGCTCTGACGCCGTGTCCCCCGACAGACCCCCACACGCAGATCCTGTATGCCTGCGACTCCTGCGGGGAGAAGTTCCTGGACGCCGCCTCGCTGGCGCAGCACGTGCGCATCCACACGGCGCAGGCGCTCGTCATGTTCCAGGCCGACTCCGACTTCTACCAGCAGTATGGCGGCGCGGCCGCCTGGCACACGGCCGAGCAGGTGCTGCAGGGCGGGGAGCTGCTGTTCCGCGCGCGGGAGGGCGACCCCGAGCCGGAGCCGGAGCCGGACCCGGAGCAGCCCGCCGAGCCCGAGCCCGAGCCGGCGGAGATGGAGTGCAGCAGCCAGGGGGAGTAGAGGAGTCTCTCGCGACGTCTCCCTCCAGCGCCTGCCCTGTAGCTGTAGTGATCCTGCAAACTGTAAACTTTCACTCCTGGAACCAGGTTCGAGTGAATCGGCTCCCCCCGTTCCTTTCTGTTCTTCAATAAAGATTTTAACTAAATGCACTGAGAAACCTGTTTCCTCTCCTTATTGGCCGGGATGTGGGGGCTGGTGTGTGTGAGACGCAGGCCTTCTATGAGCTGTTAAAACTTTGTATTACGGTTCAGTTCACATGCCAATTAACTGTGATCCCTGGGTCAATTGTGTGTGACTACAGTTGCAAATCGAAGACTTTTGTTTCCTCTACTGATAAGTCTTGAGTCTTTATTTTATAAAAACGGTTTCAAGGAACGATGCTGCACCCCAGGAAGATATTAACTGTTCCAGCAGGTGGAAGTTTCACGGCCAGTGAGATCACAGTATGTGGGGTCCCCCTTGTCTAGAGTAGATAATGGTGCCTGTTTGAAAAGACGGGTCCAACCAGGCTGAACATGACCAAATACTCCTTGCTAGCCAGCAGAAGGCGCGCTTCTCACACAGTGACACTGCTGTGCAGAACCTGCTCAGGTGTGGCAGTGGTGCAGTGGGCACTGGACTGGTCAGTACTGACCCATGACCTCTACTAAACTTCAGGTGATCTCTGCAACTGCCCTAGAGGTTGTGTGACATTTGCTGCAATACAAACTACAGGTCATTGGCCCTCTACAGCACCTTCACTCAGAGGAAGAGCTGTTAGAGCATGGGAAAGACAGTGGCCTGCTGTCACTCGCCAGCAGGGGGCAGCCCAACTCACCACACAGGAAAGAAGACGGCACAGCTGACACGGGTTAAGATTCGTTAATGTTTTTTTGGTCTTTTCTTTTTATTTCTGTGTATCAAAATTATAAGTGCCTTCAACATTACCATGAAAGAACTGGGAGCCTGGGAGTTTTACAAATATTTACACCACAAAAACTTGATAATATGATTTGACTTTTTTTCTGTTTCTCTCACTTTCTCATTTTTTCATTTTTGTACTTTTTTTTTTTTACAAGTCAATGATCCTGAAAAAAAATAAAAAAACACAGAAGTCGAGGGTTCTATGTACAACATGGAGTCTGGAAGGACGAGGAGGAGGGGGGGGGACATGAGGAGTCTCGGGGATCCGGGTGAAACAGGCGGGAGCCGCCCCTGCGCCCCACTCCCTGCCAGGGTGGGGAGAGAACAAACAGCAAACGAGATCCAGGGACGCGAAGAAGTTTCCATAAATTAAGGAGACTCACAGAAGGACATCTGGACGAGCGGGGGACTGTGGGAAGGAAGCCGGGCCGGGCCGGGCCAGACCGGGCCGGCCCGCCGAGGAGAGAGGAGAGCAGTCAGGCAACGTGAGGAACGAAGAGCACTTACGAATGAACGGAGATAAAAAGTCAAGTATGAAAATAAGATTCTCGGTTTTTTGTTGGTTTTGTTTTTCTCTGAAAACATGTTTGGCACAGATTTAAAAAAAATGGGTGTTGGTGGTGGTGGGTCAATTTCACGGGTTTTCATGTCTTTTTTTTCCAACGCTCTGGAGTCCTTTAATTATTTTTGAGTCTTTTAAATATTTATATATTTACAGAGGTCTGCATGTCCCTCACATCTTATCCCCAAGAAAAGGAGTATCCGGAAAGAGGGAATGAACTGTAAACTGTACATCTCCAGCACGGATCGTCCGTTCCTGCCCTGCGCCTCCCGGGAGCAGGAATCCGGAATCCGTCTTCCCTGCGGCAGCGGGCGACCCCACTGTCTCCCAGCCCTGCGTGTTTCCTCTCCCTGTGGCACAACAGCAACGCGGGTTTTCCATCACATGTAAAAGGTCCGTGATTTAACATAGTGCAACCATTGATCCACTCCTTAAAAAACATCCAAATTAAAAATAAAGACAGGAGAAATGTCCGTGTATCCCTCCCTCTCCCCGACAGCCTCGCCTCTGGGGGCGCAGGGGCCGAGGGCTTCCCGGGGGGCTCCGCGCTCACACGGACGCGATGACGATCATGAGGTGAGGAGAGATGCTGGAGACGTGGGCCAGCAGGTCGGGCGCCAGGCGCGAGAGGTGGCTCTCCGAGAACTCGCAGGGCGGGAAGATCTGCAGCACGTAGGCAGGCTGGAGGGGCGAGAGAGACGGGGGTTAGCTCGGCTGGCCGATCGGGGCGGCCAACCTGCGCCGCACCCGGCCAACTTCCCAGCAGCTCTCTCACGGCTTAGAGACAGCTAACAGGGGTAAAGAATTCAGATCAGGTTCGTTCGTTTAGGCTCGCTTGCGGAGGTCAGTGAACCCGTTCGGCTCGTAAGGACACCGCCCCCCACCGCCCCCACATGCAGGAAGAGCCCTGACCTGATTGGACCCCGGGTTGGGGACGTTGATGATGCCAGCAGCCTGCTTGGCCTGCAGGTAGGTGATGAATCCGGACTTCAGGGAGGCCGTCTGGTTGACCATGTCCTCCTCCTGGTCACGGCCACAGGGCATGGCCAGCAGGAGGCAGTAGTCGCTCTCCACCTGCAGCAGGAACATGGCGTCAGCCTCAGTCAGGCTCGGCCCGCTGCGCGTTCACGACCTAATAAGGTATCTATCTATCTAATGCCCCATTAATCGGATCCTGAACTCAAACCTGATGTATTCTGACGTTCCTGGACCTCGTTGTTAAAAAAGACACACTGGAATGTTTTAAACATTTAAGAACAGTAATATATAAACTATAAAACAAGCTGACAAGAATAATTACTACTGCAGGGAAGGTGACTGGCAAACCAGAGAAACATCTGGGAGACATGTCTGATAGTGCAGGTCACAGGATGGCAAAAAGCATCATTTAAGAGGCTCTGCATCCCCTGAATTTCCTAGAGCTGTTCGAGATGTGTGTATAAAAGGTCCTTTGTCCCGTACTCCACACAAGCACTGATCAGGAGCTGTTAATATTTTATTTGTTTGTACTAGTATTTGCTTTCTGATGAGTCTGATTTTATCTGTGAGCGCTTCTTCGTGTCTGATGTCTTGTGCATTTGAACTCGTCTCTCTCATGGGGGGGGACCCAAGAGCCACCCCTGGCGGGCCGGTCTCAGCGTCCTGCTCACCGTCATCCTGCGGGCCACGCCCTCCAGCTGCGAGGCCTCCAGGCGCATCCTCTGCACGATGCGCAGCAGCTGCCCGCCCTCGGGCGCCGGCAGGGAGCGGTGCGCCAGCACGTTGTTCCCCGACACGAAGTGCAGCTGCACCGCCGCCGTGTCGTTCTTCAGCGCCAGGTGCCCCTGCCACACGATCGGGTACTTCTGCTCCGCGCCGAGGGGGAGAGAGAGTGGTCAGGGCTCCCGAACGGCAGCGACTCGGCGAGACGGAGTGCCCCCCTCCCCAGCCCACGGGACCCCCCCCTCCTCACCGTGAGCAGCTGCACCATGTCCACGGGCCGGTGGGGGCGCTCCTTGGCCAGCGGCTGCCCCTCGGAGCGGCCGGGCAGGGCGGGCGGGGGCGTGGACAGGAAGGGCTGCTGAGAGCCCTGGGGCGCCTTCTGGCCAGGCGTGGGCGGCAGGTCGTGCTTCATCGAGATGGCCACGGGCGACGGGTAAGAGGGAGACGCAGCCTCTCCCTGCACCCGCGGGAGATGGGAAGGCAGGTCCATGGCGCCCGTGTGCCGCAGGTGCGTGCTCTCGGGGCCCGATGCCGTTTTGGGGTCCCCTCCTGATGTGACCTGGGGAGTTTTGCTCCGCATGGGTTGGCTAGGGTGCCCGTGATCCCCATCCAGGAGGCCCTGCGGAGACAGGAGAAGAGTCAGGTGGGGGGTAGGTGTCAGGTGTAGGTGTGGGGTTTCTGAAGTGCGGAGGGGTCTCACCCTTACCTGCGAGGGCGTCACGCTCCGCGGTGCCAGGTTGATGCCGGGGAACTGGGAGTGGAAGTTGCGGATGTCCCGGTAAACGGAAGGGTATTCGGTGAAAGAGCCCGCGGTGGGGTGCATGAGCTGCACGCCGTGGGGCACCATGACGGGCTGGGACAGCTGGGACAGCCCCGGGGGGTGCACGCCCAGAATCCGGCTCTCGCTGTGTGGGGAGGGGGTGAGCTTCACCTCCACGGGCTTGGAGGTGTCCTTCCCGGGCTGGGGGGTCTTGCTTGCTGGGGGGGTCTTGGCGGAGGACGTGGGCGCGGAGGAAGAGGAGGAGGAGGACGACGAGGAAGCTGCCTCAGGCGTGCGCGACTGCCGCCCCTCGGGGGCTCCGTGCTCCCCGATCTGGTGGTGCATGAGGATGCGCACATCGCGCGGCATGTTGTAGGGGTCCAGCCGCAGGCCGCTGTAGGGCAGCCGGTGGTCCTGCTGCATGACCATGACCTCCGGCTGCAGCTGGGGGGCCGAGGGGCGGCGGTAGGGCCGCAGGTCCTCCTCGCCGGCCGGGATGGGCTGCAGCACCATGTCCCTGAGCCCGGCCGGCTGCGGCGTGCTGGACCTCTGCTGCTGAAGCCCGGAGCGGGGAGAGGACATCGACTCGGGGCGCATCCCGTACCCCATCCCGGGCAAGGGCGGAGTGTTCATGCGGACCTCCCCCTGCGAGAGGTGGCTCAGCGACACCGTCGAGGTGACGCTGTGGGGGGGCATGATGACCGACTGCTCCGGGTGGTGGACGCTGGACACGTACTGCGGCACCGTCATGCCGGCGCCCAGCACCACCGAGGCCGCGCTGCTGCTGGGCTGGCACACCTTGGGGTACGGGGAGGGCGAGTGGCCGGAGGTGCGGGGGGAGTGGGGCTCCTGCTTGACCCCTCCCAGGTGGGGCAGTGCCCTGTCCGTGGGGGTGCTGGGGCTGGAGCCCACGTGGTTGCCAGCGAGGGACGGGTGGTGAGGGCTGAGCCCAGGGCTGAGGGTGGAGGGCTGGGCCGGCTTCCCCGATTCCACCTTCAGGGACACAGCTTCCGAGCCTGCGCCTTTCTTTCCGGCCTGCTGCATGATGGCCATCTGGCCGTACACCAGGACCTGGGGGCTCCCAGACTGGGACAGCAACTTGACAGCGCTGCCCTGCGACCCCGAGAGGTAGGGCGCGTCGGCCTTGTCCGACCCAGCGCCGGGACTCTCCTGCTTGATGGACGAGATGACGGGCTGGGTGCCGTAGGGCTGCCCAGCCAGCACGCCGGCGGAATGGGGCGCCCCGTACACCGAGGGCGTCTGGGACCCCTTAGGGGTCGGCACCTGGGAGGGAGTGACTGGCTCCTGCTTGATCTGAGACTTGGAGACGGACTGCTGGAACTCGATGTCCACAGCGCTCGCCGGAGGGATCTGGCTGATCTTGGCGCTGATCCGCTGGGGTCCCTCCGTCTTCTGGCCCGAGTAGCTGAGCACCACCACACCCTCAGAGGTGTTGACGCGCAGGCCGGGGCTGGAGCCCGTGCTGAAGGGGGCGCTCTCCACCACCGGCCGCCCCTCCTCTCCCCCGACCAGCCCCGAGGGGCCCATGTGATAGCGGCTGTTGTCGTTCAGACTGGCCCTGAACTTGTGCTTGGGCAGCGACATGCTGGGCGCCCGGGTTCCCAGGGTGATCCTGGGCGCCTCCTCGGAGTCGAAGGCTTGCGGCATGCGGCTGATGACGGAGGTGGCTTTGGAGGAGATGACGGAGTTGACTACTTTCTCGCCGAAGGGCTGCGTCTCGGCTGCCGGGGCCGAGTGAGGAGGGGGCTGCAGAGGGGGCGGCTGGGGCGGCGCCGGCGACGGTTTGTCTTCCGTGGGCGAAGGTTTCGAGGCCTCCAGGGCGGGCTCAGCCTCCACCACCCGGGCACTGCTGAGGGGGTCGCTTATGGAGGTGGTGAGCACAGTGCTGGGCACCACGCCGCCGCCGGCTGCCGACACGTACTTGGGCTCCATGAGGATTTTCCGCAGCGTGCTGGAGCTGGGGTCGATGTCGGACGCTTTGGTGTCTGGGGGCAGAGGGGGGGCGGCTGCAGGGGTCGCCACAGCCACCGCTGCTACTGCTGGGGCTGCTCCTGCCACCTGGGGGGACAGAACCCCAGAGTCCTCGGACCGGCCCAGCCAGTCCGGCACCGCGGCCGCTGGAGAGCTGGGCAGCTTGGCCGGCCGTGACGGCGTCGCGTTCGGCTTGGTGGGCGAGGGGCTGTGGGAGGGAGACGCCAGGGTGGCTGGCTGCTGCAGCTTAAAGGGAGTGGGGCTTTTGTTGCCGGCGTGAAACGCAGACTCCCTGGGCTCGGGCTGCTCCACCGGCGGCTGCTCAGCCTCCTTGGGCGCCTCGACGGCACCCGCGCCCGGCCTGCCCCCCTCCTGCTTGCAGGAAGCAGTGGCGGCCGCTGGTGTGGCGGTCTCCGCCTTGGGCTTCTCCGGTTCCACGGCCTCGGGGACGGGCTCGGGGGGCTTGGCAGCACTGGGCTCCAGCTCAGGGGCGTGATCTTCCACTGGATCTCCCTTCCTGTTGGTGCTGCCTTTGCGCGCGCGGGGGGTCTTCCTAGCCTTGGTTTTCACCTTGCCTTTCCTGGGAGTCTCCGGCTGCTCCGCTGGAGGAGAGCTCTCCTCCTGGGTGGACGCCTCCCCGGGAGCCGTCTCCATCCTCTTGGTCGCTGGGAGGTGGCTGGTCACGGCCGGCTCTGGGTCCAGGATGTTCTTTATGGCCAGGTGCGTCTCGGGCTCCATGCCCTCGCTGGCTGGAGGCAGCACCAGCTGCTCCGGGGTTGGAATGATGGCAGTGTAGGTCGCGGGAGCAGGGAAGCTATCCGCGTCGGCAGAAATGTCTTCCGCCGTGATGGAGTCGATGGCAGCAGCGAGCTCCGTCTCACTAGCGGGGTTGGCCGGCTTCTCCCCTTCGACCTCCCCTTCAGGCTCCTCCGCCATGGGGGGCAGCTCGGGCGGCTCCGCGGGTGGCTCCTTGTAGGGGGGCAGCAGGGTGGGCTCCTCCGTCAGCTTGGCGATGTTCTCCACTGCCTGCTCCAGCTCCATCTGCCGTGCCAGGAGAGCGGCCGCCGGAGCTGCTGGGGGCTCATGGTCCGACATCACTTCCTCTTTCTCCGGGCTCAGCTCAGGGACTTCCTTCAAATAGCCAGGAGACAGCACCTCCTCTTTGAGGAGTGCAGGCTTGGGCTTCTTGGGGGAGGCCTCAAAGGGCTCCGGCTCGTCCTCGCTGGAACGCAGCACCCCCTTCACGTCGTCCACGCTGAGACGAATCTCCAAGTTCTTCAAGCTCAGGGACTTATCGTCCACCATCGACTTGGCGTTGCGGGTCGCACGCCCTGGTTTGCTTTTCCCACTCTTGTCAGGCAGAGGCCGCTTCTCCGCGGAGGCTGGCTCCCCCTTCTCCAAGCCCTGATTCAGCTTCTTCTCCGCGGCGTCCAGCTCATCCTTCTCCTTGCCCTTCTGCGCTGCCGCCTGCTTGGCTTCGTCCTCCTTGGCTCTGCCGCTGTCCTCCGGAAGCTCCTCCCGGGGGTCTGGCATGGCCGGAGCCTCGCTGGCCGTGCTGTCAGTCTGCGGAGGGGGGTTCTCGAGGGCTTTCTCCGCTTTCCCCCCTTTTCTTCCCTGGGGAGCCCCTGTAGGCGAGGAGCCCTGGCTGGGGTTGCCCTTCTGGGTTCGGGGCGATCGCCACCCTTCGGCGACTTTGCTCGCTTCGCTCCCCTCTTTACTGTTGGGCTCCTCGGTCTCCGGTTTTGCTTGGTCCCCCTTGACCGGCGACACGTCCTCCCCCCGCCGGCGGGTTTTGGGCGGCCTCCCCCTGCCCCGCGGAGTGGTAGGAGCCGTCAGAGTGTCCGTCTGTGGCGTCTCCTTGTCCCCACCTCGTTTGCGGGTGAAGCGGGGCGACTCCGTCACCTCCTTCGCCTGGGTCTGGGGGGTCTCATCTTCCTTCAGAGTGGCGTAGACCGAACGCACATTCCTGCGGCGCGTCCGACCCCCGAGCAGGCTGGGCTCGCTGCTCTCCGAGTCCGTGGCGTGACTGGGGGACTTCGCCGATGTCTTTGGGTCCGAGGACATCCTGGGAGCCTCCCCCCGTGGCGAAGACGCCCGCTTCAGCTTCTCGCGGTCGATGCGCTCGCTCTTCCGAGTGGCGGGTTTCTCTGTGCCGCCGGCCGACGCGGGGAGCGGCTGGGCCACTGTGGGCGGGGCCTTCGCACGCTTGTTCTTGGCCTGTTTCCGAACGGGTGGCACCGGGTCCACTTCCGCATCATTATCGGAGACGAGGGACTTCGGCTCTTGGGGTTCGTCCGCCCTCTGTGGTGCCTCGCTGTCCGGGTGCTCGGCCTCTGGGGGCTGGGCCTCTTCCTCTTTACCTGCCTCGGCCTTTTCTTCTGCCTTCGGGGAAGCAGCACTGGGGAACTCGGGGGCCTCTGGCTCGGGCTCCAGGTTGCTCAACGAGGCCCCTGGCGTTGGGGGCTTGATATCCAGGAATGAGTTGTGGTCTGTACTGAGGACGTTTTCTGCTGGGGCCCGAATTTCTAGGACTTCATCTTTGGGTTCCACCTTCACTTCTGCTTCCAAGGACACGGGCTCTGGAGGCGCTGGATTCTCGGGGACAGTCGGAGGAGTCTCTGCTGGAAGGGGTGGTGCAATGGCCTTCTCTGGGCTGACCTCCATCTTCTCATCCTTCATGGGTGGGGGCAGCGGTTCACTTGCTGGGGTTTCGCTTGCTGTCTTCTCCTGCTGCACCACGTCTCGGGGTGGCAGCAGTACTGGGGCAGGGCTTACTGGAGTCACTGGTTTTATCTCTGCCTCTGGAGCAGGCTCTGGAGCCCTGGGCTGCTGCTGTTCCCCCTCCTGCTTCTCTTTGTCCGATGGAGAGAGCCCATCCAGGCTCGCCCTCTCTGCCTCCCGCGGCCTCTGCTCCCTCTCCCTCTCCTTCTGCTGCAGGCGCGTCAGCTCCACAAAGCGGCTGTGAAACAGCACCTGGGGCTCCTGCAGCAAGTCGCCCCCCAGGCCAGGCTGCCCCTCCGAGGAGGGCTGCCTCCCATACAGCCTGCCTGCCACCAGCTCGGGATCCTCCTCCTTCCGCTCCAGGTGCTGCAGGCGCCGGGAGTCCTGCTCGAAAATGGAGCTGTGCAAGAACCGGGAGGCGAACAGCTCCTGCCGCTCCTGCTCCTCCGCCTTCGGCTCCTCCTTCTTGTCATCCAGCTTTCCCTCAGAGTCGGTGCGGATCTTCTTCTTCTTCATGTACCAAGAGGGGATGGGCCGAGGAGCCGACTCGACCTTTTCCTTGTCCTTGCTGTTGCGAAAACTGGCGAACCTGGAGTCCTGGTCCAGAAAGGACCAGTTCTCCTCCCGGGAAGAGGAGAGGGACTTGGCTCTCTCCAGCAGCGCCTTGGTGTCAGGTGTGATCGTCTGGTCCAGCGCAAACGAGTAGAATTTGTTCCTCTCCAGGGAACCGGACAGCTTCAGGTCCGAGAGCCGTTCCTCCCTCTCCCTCAGGAAGTAGGACAGCCTCGAGCCCTCCAAAGAGGTAGAGGGCTTCGGGGAATTCATCTTGTTCTCGCTGTCCTCGTCCGAGTCCGAGGGCACCTCTCCCGGCTCGAGCTCCCGCACCGGCCGCTTGCGGATGCCCTCCCTCTTCACGATGCTGCTGGGAAAGCTGACGTCCAGGCGCAGCGGCTCCAGCTTGACGCGGCCGTCCCAGCGCTGCACCTCCTCCTTGCAGCTCAGAGACGGGGACTTCAGCTTTGGCAGCTCCAGGTGTGAGGCCCTCCTGCTGGGCTCGAACGGGGTGAACTTGAGCACGTCCAAGTGGGAGAAGACTTTCTCCTCTGCCTTGGGGGATTCTTTGGTTTCTTTCACGGTCACCAGCCTGGGGGAGTCCGCCGAGCCCTCGTCCTCATGGTAAGCGAAATGCCGCAGCCCTGGAGGAGACGTGATGTTCCTCTCGGAGTCCTCGCTCAGCTGTCTAGAGCTCCTATAGTTCCGCTCCCTCTTGGCACTCAACTCGAAGTCAAAAGACTCCAACTTCTTGCGCTTGCTAGGTGGGGAGTCATCTGTGACATCTTGAGGCGGCTTGTCAAATTCATGCACCAGGCTGCGCCTCTCCAAGTCCTCCAAGTCCGTTCCTCTGGGGCTATCAGGCTTCTCTGCCTTGGTGGTGGTGTCCACCTCCTGCATCTGCTGTCTGAGTCTGCGGCTCTGCTCCATCTGCTTGCGGTAGCTCTGAGAGTGGTCGATGTCGAGAAGCAGACGCTCCTCGGACTCCCCGCTGCACCCCATGGCTTTGTCCTGCCCCAGGCTGCGCTCACAGAGATCCTCCAAGAAGCTCTGCCTCTCCTGTTCCCTCGTCTCCTCATGGTCCAGGCTTGCGTCGTCTGAAAACATCCGCGAAAGGCTGGCCCTGCGCTGGGTCTTCAAGCCTGAGCCGCCGGTCTTACGGCTGGGAAACTCCTGTGGATCTGCACTCTCTTCCGCTGGCTCCCCCAGCCTCGCCTGCAGGTCCAGGCTGAGACCCAATCCGATCCCCACAGAGAGGCTTCCCGACTCGTGCCCGTCCTTGGGGCTGCACACAGTCACCAGCCTCTCCGGTTTGACCTTCCGGTGATCCCTCTTGTGCGTTTCTTTTCGCTGTACCTTCCTCTCGCCGTCCGCGTCTCTCGCCACGCCGCCGCTGCTGTCCGACAGCTTCTTAAGGCCCAGCCTTACATCCTCATCCTCTTGGCTGCTCCTCTTCAGCTGCCTGTCCGCCTTCGCGCTGGCGTCTGCAAAGCGGCGCTTGCGAGCCTCCAGCCTGTCGATGTCCAAGGAGTTGCTGCCCTCTGACCCTGGTTCAGCCTTGAGATGCTTCTTGGGCTTGACCTTACCTTCCTTGTCCACGACCTCCACTTGGCTGACCAGACCTTTCTCCTTCGTCGCTTTGCTCCGCGGCTGTTCTGGCTTGATCGTCTCCCCCTTAGGGAGCTCCAGTCGGGACAGGGGCCCTTTGGGGTCACTAGGGGGTGGAGGAGGCAGCGGCGGTGACCTCACGCTGTCGTTCTCCCCTTTCAGTCTCTGCTTCTCTGGGCCAGGCTGGTCAAGCAGCTTCCCCTCCTTCTCCTTGACCCGGGTGAGCTGCACTACGCAGGGCGGCAGGTCCAGGCGGTTCTTACCAGACCCTTCCTTGTCCTTGGCCGGCGGCTTGCTCTTCCCACGCATCAGCGCGTCAGGGCTGGCATCTCTCTCTGGCTCCGGGTCCGTCTCCGAGGACGGAATGCTGGGAGACGGGGCCTTGATTTTGCGGAACTTCAGCTTCTCTCCCTTCTCCTTCTCCACCTTCTCTTTGCGAGCCGCACGCTTGTCCTTCTCCACGCGCTCCGTCTCGAAGAGACGCTCCTTGTCCGCCTTGTCGGTCTTCAGGTAGCGATCCGCCCGGGCTTTGTCCAGCTTCTCGTAGCGGGGCGGCGAGAGGGAACTGCAGCTCCCGCTGCGCTCCGAGGAGCGGCTGTAGATGCGCCGCTCGGAGTCGCTGGGCAAGCGCTCGGAGGGGGAGGGAGAGGCGGCGGGGCTGGACGGCCGCCGCGGGTGGCTGGGGCTCTGGCTGCGCTCGATCGTCCGCCTGTTGTGGTCCCTCTCCCTGTCGGTCTCGAAGCGCTCCCGCTCCCTCTCGCGCTCCCGCTGCAGGTAGCTGTACTTCCGGATGTCCTGTTCGTAAGGGTCCCTGTAGTCTCTGTACTCCCGCGGGTCGTCGTAGTACCGCGGATCGTAGTAATCCCCCTGGTAAGGGTCCCATTCGGCGTAGAACTCCCGGCTCCGGGCAGGATACTCCCGGCGGGGATCCTCCGTGTACGTGCCTGGAGTTCGGACGTTGTCGTAATAGGCGCGTTCGGCCGAGTACTCGTGATATGGCGGCCGGCGCTCGTCTCTGTGAAGCAGGAAGAGAGAGACGTTTAGCAGCAGGTTCTAACGCGCCTGAAAGGACATCTGTGTCTCAGGGTAATAACAGACAAGCAATGACGGCTCAATAACAGAATTTAAAAACTGTATTACAACATAATTTATGAAACATTATACCAGTCACTAAGCTACTAAGAAGTTTTCTTTACCAAGAACATCTATCAAAGACCATTTAACTCTCTCGTGTTACAAAAAATGTGAATAATAAATCCATTATTTGGCAACTTAAGTATTATTTAGTTGCTAACACTGTTGGCCACAAGTAAAGGAAGATTACAACGCACTGAAACAATGGAAGATATTTTCAATGCAAACAGGGATTGAGAAATAAATTGATTCTGTTTTTCCTTAAGCGGAAGAGTCTGCAACAGCCTGTGAATCATTTCAGCAGACCGCAGACATGTTGTCCACACGCGTCTGGAGAGACGCATTCACAAACACGGAGACTGGGCTTTCCCAGCCCAGACCCACGCCTCCCTCCCCCTCCCTCCCCAGCGTGCTCCCAAGATTATCCGGAGGAGCAGAAAGGGGTCAACGAGAGGTAAGGAGCCGGCACAGGGCTTCCTTCCTGCTCGTCCTTCCCGGAAGTGGGCAGTGCATTCCGAGTGGGAGAGCCGCGGAGGGAGGAAGCACACGGACGGCCGACGGGCTCGGTGCCGCACCCAGGAGTTCACACCAGGAGCAGCCGAGCAGCCGGCGGGTCTGCACCGAGTCAGGCAGAGCCTCGCCCCGCCCTGGGCTCCGGGGACAAGGGAGAAGGAGTATCCGATTCCTCTCGCGCTCAGAGAGAGCTCCCTTTGATTCATTCACCTTCACCTCTAGTTTCCAGCTGTAAGAGGAAGGCTGCAAGGGGCCATAAGACTAATTACATCCAGACACCCACTGCAATGAACTGATCTGGCTCACTGCAGAGTCTCATTACTGTTCACTAAGCGGAAAGGGAGTGAGAGATCGGTCGCACAGGTACCTCCTCTCAGACAGGATTTCATAGAAGTCTCTGATGTCTTGCCCAGATGCCTGCATTGAGCGATAAAAAGCCATCTGACTCTCCTGGTTGGCGAAATCAACCTGCGGGAAGAACCAGTGTGATCAGCATCAGCACAGCACCTTTACACGATACACAGGCCTGACGTCTCGGGGGCACTGTTCCTCAGCGCAGGGACAGCTGGATCAGAGACCGCCCTGCCAGGCTGTTCACATTCAAGACATACCAGGAGCTACATGCGTGTGAAGAGCCGGAGTGGGTAGCCTGGCTCTTGCTGTCATTATGTTCCTGCCTGGTTTGGAAGCCTTAATACAAGCAACAAAAACAGACTGAGCAGAACCAGGATTTAGACTACCTGGATTCAGATGAAATAGAATTAAGTTATTTTATATTTCCATTTTATTTATACACTCCTTTTCACCATACAGTTTGTCAATGGGATCATGTTGTGTATTGTGTTGACTTGCCTACAAAACAAATTTCCCATCTGGGACAATAAAAGGAAGTAAGCATGTCAGTTAGATGATGGAGATTGATCGTGTTCTTCACAGTCAAAAAGTAAATTTCTGTTTGGTTGGATGTAGGGTTGGCTCGTCCTCCGGTGCCCCCTGTCCCCGCTCACCTTGATCTTGTTGCCCCCGATCTTCCAGCCCTTGGTCTCCTTGACGGCGGCCTGGGCGTACTCGATGTTGTTGTACAGGATCAGCGCCATCCCCTTCAGCCGGTCGAACACCACCTGGGGAGCAGAGGGGGTGAGCGAGCAGCACTGCACAGGGACCCCCACCACGGAGCGCCACGCCTGCAGGCTGGCAGCAACGCCCGTCCAGGGGGAGCAGCCCAGTGCTCGGTCCCCCCTGGACCCCAGTGCTCTTGGGCCAGACTCCGGCCTGCTGAGGCCCCTCTGACCGGAGCCCTGCATGCGTTACTCTGTGTAGGTTGGGGAACCAGTTCTGCCTGGGTCCCACTGCGCACGGTAGACACACAGTCCAAACCCACAGGCCCCCAGCAGACCAGGACACAAGGCCAGCAGATCCCCCCTGGGCTGCCAGTGCTCAGTTCGGAGAAACTCAGACACCGAGACGGAGGGGAGACTGGGGCGGCCCAGCCGGGGCGGGGGGGGGGAGGCGTCTCACCTTAACGACGTGGCCGTAGCGGCAGAAGTGGCGCGTGAGGTACTGCTCGGTGATGTTGGAGGCCAGCCCGTCCAGCCACACGCAGGTGGTGGGCATGCTCTTCCCGAAGCCCAGCTGCGGACAAAGGGGAACGCCGTCACACACCAGCAGCAGGGGCGGCACCCAACTGCTCACACACCAGCGCCGCTGCTCAATACTTCCGGCACCACGCAGAAAACCTTCACTCCTGGATTCCCTACAGCCTCAGCAGTGTGGCGTCCCGGCTGACAGTACCTTGAGCCTGTTGTTGCCCAGATACTCCCCGTCCATCTTCTTGATGGCCTTGCAGACGCTGGCGATGTCGCAGTACTGCAGGAAGGCGTATTGGGGGGCCCCATTCACCTTCTTGATGTCAATGTCCTGGTGGGGGGGGGAGGGAGGGAGAGGAGAGCAGGCGTTACGGTCGGACAGGACACCGCGGGTGCAGCCCACGTCCTGTCGGTCCGATTTGACACCCCGCCGCAGCACGCACCACGATCTCCCCGAAGCGCTGGAAGATGTTGAGCAGGTCGTGGTAGCTGGTCGTCTTCTCCAGGTTCCCGATGAACAGCGTCCGCGTGGCCTTGGGGTGGAACTCGTCGATCCTCTCGTCCAGCGGCCGGAACTCGTTCTCGCTCTCGGTCTCTGGAACAGGGGCAGGAGAGCGGCGTGACTGCGGGCGGCCCCGGGGACGAGACGGACGGAGACAGAGGCGCTCGGGCAAGCAGGAGGGGGCGTACCTGGGCCGCTCCAGGCCGTGACCTCGATCTGCATGCCGAAGAACAGCTTGCCCTTGGAGGCGCTCAGGGCCTTCTCCTGGTCCTCCTGCTGGCGGAAGAACACCAGGCCGTAGCGCTCCTCCGAGGCGCCGTGGATCTGCACCGACGTCACCTTCCCGTATTTCTTAAACTCGTGGAACAGCCCGTCCTTCAGGCTCGTGTCTGGCGAGACAGGGAAGCGGGACAAGACGACGGGGTCAGGAGCACAGCTAGACAGGGGTCAAGGTGTGACAACATGACTGTGCAGGTCAAGGGTGACCAGTCCTGGTCCTGGGGGACCGGTCAGTGCATCTGCTGCCCAATTGTGCCCAGCCCCAGTCGTGGAGGATCGGTCAGTGTGTCTGCAGGTCCACGGTGTCCAGTCCTGGTCAGGGTGTCCAGTCTGTACCCACACCACTCACCTGTGGAGCGGACAGGCAGGTTCTGCACCTTGATGCCAAAGCTCTTGCGCGGCTCGTCTTTGTCCAGGGCCGGCGGCGGCTGCACCGGGGGCGCGGGGACAGCGGCGGACTGCACCGACCGCGCCGGCGACTCATCGCTCGAGCTGCTGCTGGAGTCGCTGCTGCAGAGACAGGGAGATGGGGTGTCGGCGGGGCCGAGCACAGCGACACGGGCGGGGGCAGGGGCCGGGGCCGGCGTTCGCGCTTGGCATCTCCCATCCTGCTCTGCAGCAGTGCGCTGCCCACCGGGGGGGGCACTCTCTGCTTAACCCACCCACTGACGGGCACACTTCAATCTCAAGCCTGGACTCTGGCTCGAGCACCAGAACGTTTACATCTGCACTACCAAGCGTGGCGGGACAGGAGACGTCCGAGAGCAGGGGCCAAGGGAAAGTCTCTGTCCTAAACCCCAGCATCCGGAGCAGCAGCTGCAGTGTCCGGACAACATCAGCGAGCACAAGGTCTGTAGTAATGCCAGGGAGTGGAGGGAACAGTAAGTCCAGTGTGGTTCTCTCTCGTTCTGACCGTGAGGTTCAGCTTTTCACCACTAGATGGCACCATCCTCCCACAAAGCTCCAGCAGGGAGACTTGTTAGTGTGAGAAAAATTCAGTCTATTTATACAGCACCCAGAAGGGCTTCCTTCACACATAGCAGGAGAGCCACAGAAGCCATCCTGTACCAGCCGAGGCTGAGAGCAGCCCTGATCTACCCGATCGACTTCATCAACGAGTTTCCTATACTGACCAGTCCCCCACACCCCCTCCAAGTGAAACAAACCAGAAAAGGCTGCCGTCACCATTACAAAGATTAATACAACACAAGCCAAGCTGATTAACACAACAAGACGGCCGTCAAAATACTTCGCTCTGCAGGAGCCTGGGGGTGTGGAAAGGACCGATCCAAGATGTGAGCAGGAAACTGTGAAGCCTCATGTCTCGGGAGCAGATTTTGGAGTGCACAATGAACTGCAGACTGGGCACACAGAAGGGCTGGGGTGGTTTGGTGCAGCGGGGTCACTGGAGAGCCATTATTCAGACACAGTGACCCTCACCAGGCGACCCACACCTGAACACGGAGAGCCGCTGTGGGTGAGGATTCAGGAAATCACGTTCCAGAAAGCAAAACCCCTAAACGCACCGTTCAGGGCCCAGAGCACAAGGCCACCCAGCTCTTCAGACACCCTGAAACCACATCATCACTCCAGCAGGTCAGACCGTACTGTACAGCAGACAGGGACTCCCTACTCCCCCAGTTCAGGGTGTCTCTCTCCACTGTACTGCTCAGCAAGCCTGAGAGTCTCTGCGATACAGAAACCCTTGGGGAGCCTCAGCTACACCCCCACTCCCGTCACCCCAATGCGTTACTGTGGCCTGGGGGAGGGGTGGCAGTCCGGGGATTCTCACACAGACGAGCTGCGGCAGGCAGTCTGGAATCGTCCTCCCCCATCAACACCTGGCCTTTCAAACACGCAGGAGACGCGGCGCGCTCAGCACACGACTAGCTCCTGCTGCGGAGCAGCTCGTCCATCGCAGGCACGGAGTCGAGCTGCAGGCAGCAGGGGCCCCACTGCTCGGGGCTCAGCTCTCCCAGCTCTCACCCTCGGCGCAGGGGGAACGATCACTGTCGGCCGTGATCAGATCGGGGGGCTCGTTTCTGGCTGCACGAGACAGGCTCTGCCCTCCACCCCCTACTGGCATTCGCTCTGGGGGGGCGACGCGCTGTTCCAGGATGACTGGCCCTGCTCTGGGCGTGGAAGTGCTGAATTCCTGCCCTGTTCCTGAAATACAGGCTGCTCTAGTTTCAGCAGGAGTGAACACTGGATTCCTGCTGTTCCTGTACAGGGTGCCATCAGACTGGTCTTCCTCCTCTCTCCAGGAAGAACACACACACACGCGCACACGCGCACGCAGTCCAGGACAGGGAAGCGTCAGCCCACTGCTCTGACAAACACGTCTGGGTCAGACTCTCTGGCAGGCTGTTTACAGAGCGCTTGACTTGGGCGCCGGGAGGGTCGCTGGGAAAGGAGGTAAGCGATTCTGTGGCATCACACCGCAGGCACCCCCGCCCCCGCAACAGGAAGTGCTGCTGCCGAGAGCCCGGCCTGTGAGAGTGGGAAGGCAGCCAGCAGCAGCCAGAAAATTCCAGTTCAGACCAGATCACACAGAGGGGGGCGGGGGGGTGGTCGCAGAGGCCTGCTGCTCGACTGCTTCTCTCTGGACACAACACGCGCTCGCCTGCTCGCCCGCCGCAGCAAGTCCTCTCACAGCGCGGCCCTGCCCGGAGCTCAGGCCGGCTTCCTCAGAACAGCACTCTGACCCAGCGAGATCGCTCGGCCCGACTCAGCCGGGCCTCAGAAACGGGTTCTCACGGCACCAGCAACTCCAGACTGAGCCACCCGCGACACCCTACAGCTCTTCACTGCGCCCCGAGGACTAATCACACCCCGATCTGCTTTCCTGTAGCAATAATAATAATAATTGATTACACTTATATAGCGCTTTTCTGGACACTCCACTCAAAGCGCTTTACAGGTAATGGGGATCCCCTCCACCACATGTGGTGCAGCCCCACCTGGATGATGCGACGGCAGCCATAGTGCACCAGAACACTCACCACACATCAGCTCTCAGTGGGGAGGAGAGCAGAGTAATGAAGCCAATTGGTAAGGGCCAATGGGAAATTTGGCCAGGACACCAGGGCTACACCCCAACTATTTCCGAGAGACGCCCTGGGATTTTTAATGACCACAGAGAGTCAGGACCTCGGTTTTACGTCTCATCCGAAGGACGGCGCCTGTTCACAGTATAGTGTCCCCGTCACTGTACTGGGGCATTAGGACCCACACGGACCTTTAGCAATAATTACATTTTCATGCCTGTAGCTGCTCATGTGGTTTTGGAGGCAGGTGGGGTCCCTAGGGCAGAAACATTTGGCACCTTGACTCAGCAGGATCTCCAGTGTCCTGTGAGAGCTGGGCTCCAGTAACGGAGATGTGGCTCAAGCTCACGCACACACCCACCCTAGCAGGACAGGAGAGTGACCGAGAACTGGCAGAAGCCCATCCTGCCCACTGTCCACACCGGACAGAGCTGGACAAAATACAGTCATCCGTGCGTCAATATCGTGCCTGTGTTTATTTGTACAGTTGTACAAATTGTGCAGTTCAAGTTGATATTTTCCTGCTCACTATAATTTTCAGTATTGTTTTACAGTGAAAAACCTTGAGATTTATAACATGACTGTAATGCTCACAGGTGAGGGGAGGGGTGGCAGCTTCAGAGCCCTCTGCTGGACGCAGGACTCTGTGAACTGATCTGAAAAGGTCTGGTTCCAGTACCACTTGCAGAAAAAAACAAACACTGAAGCTCCAGTAAATAATGGCACTGAACTCCTGTAGTCCGTCATCAGCCCGGGGTCATAACACAGCAGTCGAACTCACACACTGCTCCCTCGCAGGGCGAGATCACCGCAGCGCTCGCATGATCACGCACACTCACACAGCTAACGCACAGCGAGATCACCGCAGCGCTCGCACACTCACACTGTTCCCTTGCAGGGCGAGATCACTGCAGAGTTCGCACAATCACGCACACTCACCCTGCTCCCTTGCAGGGCGAGATCATCGCAGCGTTCGCACACTCACACTGCTCCCTTGCAGGGCAAGATCACTGCAGCGTTCGCACAATCACGTACACTCACCCTGCTCCCTCGCAGGGCAAGATCATCGCAACGTTCGCACACTGCTAACGCGCAGAGCGAGATCACCGCAGCGTTCGCACAATCACGCACACGCAGGCACACGCGTACTGCTCCATTGTAGGGTGAGATCATCACAGTGCTCAGAAGACACCAGAGAACACATCTTTATTTAGTCTAACTGCGTTTTTCTGCTCACAAACTAATTACAGCGGATTAAGAAAAGCACCCCTGTGAACGGAGCAATCAAGGTCGGCAAAGCCCGACTCAACACTCCTGGCTGCAGACTGACGGCCCAGGTGGCCAGATGGACAGAATGATGGATGGGAGGGACAGATGAGCAGATAGGTTTGGAAATCTGATGCCTGGAACTGCACTTACATATCAACGTGAATTACAAGCGAAATTCAAACCTACAGCAACTTGCTGCAGTCAAGGGAGATTCCAGTCTCTAACGAGAAAGGAAGTAAAACGTTCTGGAAAACAACCTTGAGGAGGAGGTCTTTAAAGATTCTTCCTTAAAACTCTGCAGACAACTGCGCAGACTGCGATCGAGACAGCAGGTGGCTCCGTGACAGCGAGACTCTGCTCAGACTGGACCACGCCGGGCCGCGGGCCGGGCCTGGACCTTATAGCCAAAGGGAAGAGCACGACACCCCGCAGATCCTTTCCTGCGATCACGTCTCTGCAGCCAGAGCGCAGCTGGTTCAAAAGCCTGTTGGACACGCAGGAGAGGAGGCCGACAAGCTCTGAAGTAACAGGAGCGCGTGTGCAGACTGCCCTAGTTTCCCAGACTGGTCTCTGCCATACATCAGAGACTCATTACATCCAGGATCTTATTCCTCTTCAGCCATTAAACTACTCAGTGCTCAGTGACCCTTTACAAGCGATTCTCACATTCCTGCTGAACGGACTGAGCGCTGGACTCCAGCACAGCAGCGCAGGAGAAACCGCTGAAGTTCAAATCAAATGCCATTTCAGGATGCGACCAGCTGCGAACAGGGTGAATAATTCATCAAGTCTGCTTCACACGTGCTTCGCTATTTCCTCCTCGAAACACAGCGGCTCTAGTGAGCCTGTCACCCCAGCAGAACAAAACAACGGGGCGCCAGCAGTGCCCGGGTTTGAGGGAGGCCATGTATTGAACAAGACTGCGGCACGACACCAGGACTCCCCTCCCCCTGGGATTCAATCCCACCACCCGCTGCAGTGTTCCCCTGCCAAGGCTCGCGGGCCTGCGGGCCGCGCGGGAGCGCCCCCTACCTGTCGCTGCTGGTGCTGCTGCTGCTGCTGACGGAGTCCGAGCTGGAGGAGCGGCTGTGCGAGCCGGAGCCGCTGGGGGAGCGCGGGGGGCGCGCGGCCTGGCTGGCCAGCCGCTGGGGAGAGGGGTTGCGCGACTGCGAGGAGTGGGGCGACCGGCTGCGGCTGTGGTGGTAGCCCCGGT